ATTCTTCTGGGAGTCGAGGAATTGCAAAAGCGCATCATTTTTCAATACAGCATCCCAAACTTTAGGATCAGATGCGATTGAAGCAACAACATTCTGGGTATGAAGCCAAAGCCATATTTTGTAAGACTCAGAAATGAAGGTAAAATCTGTGTATTAAAAAAATTCTACCAGGAAACTCCAGTATAGGCATAGAATTTAGGTATAGAATTTACCCTGGCAGCTGAAACAGAAACTACAAACCATATAGGCCCCAGAGACATCCAAGTGGGAACATTTCAAGTTTGATTCCCATGTATAGATGTAAATAATATTTTATATAGATGTATCCAAATATTAGTGAATAGATGGTGAAACAAAACTGTTGATTCATCACAGACACCTTGTAATGGTATTACCCCCCAACAAATACGGTAATTCACAAGACATCTTACCCTGAATTCAGCAACACAAACTCACAGCATGACAAAAAGAATATGCAAATTTACATGAGAGTCAAACAGTACCTGAGCTTCAGGGCTCTCACTAAGCAAAGCAAATGCCTGCATAGCATGTTTCGGCACAGGAACTGCTTTAGTCTCGCTGGGCCTACTCTCCAAGCAATAAGCATTCGAAAGCAGCGAGAGGCTGGGGACATGGCCAGCCTCTGATGCAAATGAATCCTCAAATCCAGTAGACTTTGGAGATGACAGATACACCCTGTAAACATCATAAGTTCAATAGGCACTCTATGAAATTAAACCGCGATTTACCAAATGGAAAATAACAGGAAGTAGAGAGAAGAGTGTAAGAAAAGTAGGCAAAAAGTATAACTGCAACTTGACATTTACAACATGCTCCATGTAGGTCCGTTGACAAAAAACTAAGTCATCAGCTCATATGATGGCATCTAAATTTCTTAATCCTAAGATTTACTGGTAATCAAAGAATACTCGATTACCTTTGTTGAAAAGTTATTCTGTTTCCTTCTCTACCACAGAAACAATGATGTTCCTAACTAAAATTCAAAATTTTCAACAAAAATCAAAATACCTGAAGCAGGAAATCATAATTACCAATTTTTAATGAATTCAAACCCTAAAAGACGAACCAAACGATCCTAAATATTTAGCTATATCCACAGATGAAGAAGAAAAGTTTGAAAATCGAATTTTCTTTTCCAAGAACAGAGACGCACTTATCCAGAGCATCTTTCAATTCAGTGGTAGCATCCTTAGCCTCCTGAAGGCTAGGAGGGCCCTGGACAACGGTCCTACCCATTGGCTCACCGCCACGGGGATCGGATACAACACGCTCCTCCCCGCTGCCGATGAACTCCCAGTCATCAACCTCCCACGAAGGCCGCTGCACCTGAGCCACGCCATCAACCTTCGAATGAGACGCAGATACGATCGCCGGGGAAACCTGCTTGGACGCGCTCCTCATCATCGACTGCTCAGTCACCGCGGGGATCGACGGGAATCCCGCACCCCTGATGCCGCCGACACCGATGTTAGCCACCTTGGCTGCCGTTCGCATGGCTCCTCCTCCCATGATCGAGGAAAATCTCCGTGAAACCTGGCGATTTAGATTAAGGGTTGCGTCGAGGATAGCGAGAGCGGCTGAAGATGAAATGGATAGAATTCGCGTGATATTTATTTATCTATTTCCATTTCATCTAATTAAAACTTAAAATGGAAGGAACACAGGACAGGAGACATCGTTTTCGAGGGAATATAATCGACGGTCAATAAACCTTAAAATGACTCAAAACAGATCTAGACCGTCCATACATGTACGCCGTATTTTCACGGAGATAACGTCCGGAGCTGCTTAGATTTGAAACGAATAATAATTATTCAATTATAAACACTGCAAAAGATGGGGTAAACACTTTACACACTGTTTATATGTTATTATTATTATTGTTATTATTATTTTAAAAGATAAAATATATAGAATTATTTATATGTACCAATTGAAATTTTGTTTATGGGTTTATCACATGAGATATATATGTAGCTATCACGTTATTATTTTTTTAATTATATGACTCCAAGTTATTATTTTTTTTATGATATGATTTTAATATAGAAGACGAATATATCTATAAGTTATTTTTATTTGACTATCTATTTTTATTTAACATAATTAAAATTTAAATTATAAGATTCAAATAATTAACTTGTGTAATATTTATGAGGATCTCATTTATCCAATTATGAATGAACTTCAACAGATACCGAACAAATAAGAACCATTCATATATGGGTTCTGCTATTTGAGTTTTGTGCTTATATTGGAATTCCATAATATATATATATATATAAATCATAAAAATTGTACTATAAGAAAGAAGAATCATCAATGAAACTTGAATTCTTAGACACAAGAATCACCATCAATCATTCGGTAAATACTTGTCTAGTCTTGTTGTAAATGAGTAGTTAAGAAGCAACAGGAGCATATCTTTATTAATTGATGATTCTTCAACTGGAAAGGTAACTCTCTTTCTTGATTATTTAAGATTATAAGTTTTGGAACTGAGATCTATTTGAGAATTGGTTTTATGATATGAGTATTTTTTTCTTGTAGTTAATCATATAATAATTAGAGATCAGTTCTGGCAAATCGAGGAGCATTTTATGGATGATTCCCATATCAATTTGTGATATCTATAGGACTTGTTAGATTGAATTACTTGTTTGGAAATTAATAGTTTAAGAATACAATCATACTTTTGTTCCACTCTTTGCATATTGATTCAGGACCAATTAATCCACGAGCCGTTTAATTGTATTCCTAAGTATTCTACTTGTAACTAGTCTCACCATATAGAAAACAGAGAGAAGTACTCCACATAAAGCTAGAATTTTGCAAAAATAAAAGAGCTTTCATCTTATTGTGTAGGTTTTTAGTTTATACCCCGTAGAAGAAGACCTAACCAGGTTTCTAGCCAAGAGGATGGAGGGAATGCAATAGATACAAAGACTCGTAAAAGCCATGGTTGGTGTTCAATAAAGCTGCAAGAAACCTTTTATGTCTTCACCATGCTAAAATTGAATTGGAAAAGGGTGGACAAGACAACCAGTTGAGTATCGAGCATTGATTCTGATTTAAACTAGCGAGTTAGAAGGTTGGGCGGCTTATACACGAATCTACTTGAACATAACCAAATAATGAAGCAAAGTAGACTCATTGTCAGATGAAAGAAATCCCAATTAACAATAGGCAAATATAGAATTTTCGTCTTTATAGTATTAACTTAAATGAAATTAGATGCCACCATGGCTATATCTTATTCATGTATTTACATACAATGCCCTTTTTTATGAGTTTATTAGAAAATTTATCAAGATGAAAATGTATCTGCTTCAAATGCCAAAAAGATTCTGTTAATGAGGTTTTCATTCCAACAAGGTTGAGCAGATGAAAATTTATGGGAACAAATATGAATTTATTATGGAAGTACGGTTAACAGTGATAAAAGGTAATCATTTATCTTCCCAATTATGAATGATTTTCGAGTAGTAATTATTTTTCAAGATAAATCTAGACAATCTTCTTAATTGTTAATCCTAAATTAAACGTAATAATCAAATTAAGTTCAACTCAATGATCTTTTGGACCAAATTAATTTGTGGTGAATTTCATTTTCATTAATAAGCTCATTAAACCCAACTTTGATCCAACCCAATTAATCCATTAAACCCATCTTAATACACAAATCTGATTCAAAAATTTAATCAAATGCTTTCCTAATCTAAAGTTTCATTACTTGATATAGCTCAATCCATCATATTTTCTCAATCGATGTCAATTAACATCGTTTAATGACTTCTTCTTTAAAAAAAGTCGAAAAATAAACAAATTGTTGACTAAAGATGATGACGATTAAATGACAATATCAAACATTTAAAAAAAAAACGCTTATAATAACTATCTTTTAAATTTTTAAAATTTATAGTTCGGTACATATTATTTTCTACGTTGTTTTATTTATTTTTATTAAAAAAAGTTATTGATAAATATTTTTTGAGAATAATTTTATAATTTTAAATAGTAAATTATAAAAAAAAATTTGAAATTAAATTACAATATAACCAATAATTTGAGGATTAAATTAGTAAAAAGATGTTCTTGAAGTATTCCTTAATGTTTGTCAACTTTTGACTTGATGGGAGGCGCTTAGTCCAATACCCGAATACGGTAAAAATTAGGATCTGTCTGTCACTACCTGAAGGTACATATGGGAAAGTCCGTGTAAGTAAATAAAATCCAAAAATCATAATATATAAAGAAAATTAAAGGGAACCCAACACGATGCGGGCAACCCCACAGTAAAATCCGTGTGGGTCACCTCAGAAAAAAAAAACAATAGTATACAACACGAGAAAACTAGGGCCCACCCTTTACTGGCCCCACGGTGTCGGGCGTTATATAAAGTTTCAAAACAAAATAATTCAAAATCTGAGTATTTTATAATACGGGTGTGTGTATATATATATATATATATATGGGCTAATGGACATTAAATTATTATAATATACTAATATTTTAAAAAAGTTATTTTTTATTTACGCTTCAATTTAAAAATTATGGCTAAATTTCATATCGAATTCATTTTAAAATAAATTTTTACAATTTAAAAATTATTTTTTTCTACGTAAAAGAATAAAATCAAATCAAAAAATGAATTATTCTATAATTAGTATAAAAGTTGGGAGATTAGAAGTGAGATTTTGATTAGGAGAAGAGAATTCGGGTTCCAGGATTTTCACATCTTTTACAAAACTCCTAATCTCGTTTAAAACCCTTTAAAACACACTAATTAAACACTTCATTTCCTACTTAATTATATGTTTATATATAATAATTAAACTATAATTAGAGAGCTACATGCCATTTAATTTTTTTTTTCTTTTTTTCCCAAAAAAAAAAAAAACAAAGAGAAAAGTTGAAACAGCTTGCCGTCTCTCTCTCTTTCTCTCTCTATTTCTATCTCAAAGCCTCAAAAAACCCTTTCTCCTTCCTCACATGATCCTTCAAAAACCCTGCAAAACACCACTTCATTAGTCTCAATGTATATATATATATATATATACCCTTTTTATTTAATGTATGCGATGAGATTCATTTTTATTTTCTTACTATTTTGAATATTTATTTATTACTCTCGAAGCTTTTCACAATACAAAGATGCGTTAGATAGACCAGTAATAAGTGAACAAGTCTGAGTTCATAATAAATGATAATTGAATATTATAAGAAAATACATATATCTAATACTACTTTCAAACAGCTGAAACTTACCACCCAGAAAAATACATTCGTATAACATATATATATATATGTAATTATTAATTGTTTATAACTGTAACTGCTGCCAAATTTTGTGTTTGGATTTTGGAGTATATAAGAAAGTTCCTAGGATTCTTTTTTTTTTTTTTTCTTTTCTTAATTTTCTGATTGGAAATGTAATGAGAACAGAGTTTACAAAATTTTTCGAAAAAAAAGAGAGAAAAAAAAGAATAAGTTGAGAAAATCGCTGGAAACAAACAAAAGAAGAAAAGGAAATTGACTTTGTAATCAATTACTGAAACACACCATCCTCACCCGCTATGAATGTAACTGAAATTTTTTTGCATATATTAAAAATCCAAAGCTGTCTTTTCACCAGCAAAATAACAGAATTCTCTAAAAATTTAAGAGATACAAACAATAGGAATAAACTCTTAAACCAGTAAATAATCAATTAATCAATCCAATCAGAGACTGAGAATCAACTGATTAACTCACCTTGTGGCTTGCAATCAGGCGGATCTTCGAAGAGCGAAAGTGAGAGCTGTTTATGCGCAACTCCGATGTCAAACAAAATAAGGCCGGATTTCGGATCGTCGACGATGATATCTTTGACCGGTAGCCACAGAAAGAGCTCCTCCTGAGTTAAGCCGACAACTCCACTGAGACTCCCGTAGCTGAGATTAGCTCTCACGACGCTGTCGAAGAACACTCTGTTCTCGAATTTCGTCATACACGGCCCGTCGAGGAAGACCTCCAGCCGGCCATTATCAGAAAGAGTGTAGGATCTCACTTCCTTGGGGACCAGACCTGCCGGCAACCCCCGCGAGCGGAGGAGATCGTGAATTGAAGACGAAACTGCAGAGAGAGGAAACAGAGAAAGAGAGATCGAAAACAGGATAAACAGAGAGAAGATTCTGGTGATAAGGACGGCAGCCATGGACACCTTTTGCAAAGAGAAAACAGACGGGAGGGTTTTGAGGCTTAAAAGTTTTGTTTTCTGGTTTTGGTTTTGGTTTTTGTTGTTGGGGAGGGGGGGGGGGAGATCGAAGGAGAGGAGAGGAGTAGAAAGTGGAAAGACTGTTTAAAAGAGCAGAGAGAATGAGGGTAATATTACTATTTTACCCTTGGTTGGTGACTGGGCCAAAGGTCTTAGTTTAATTATGATTTAACTATAATTAATTAATTAATTAACTAATATAATTGGCTTATGTGTAATTAATATTCCAAAATTGATATTAAGCAATACTGCATTTGGTGCTTTGCTTCTTGTCTTAAATTGCTTTTTTAAGCTCATCTAATTACATTGTTTTTGTGGTGGTCCATGTGAGTTAATATTCACTTTTTGCATTGTTTGGCTTATTACACACACACACACACACATATATATATATGCTTACTATTTCCTTAACTTGCATTATTGTTGACAGCCATACATACATACATACATACATATATATATATTATGTAAATAAAAGGTACTATTGGGATCTGGAAAACAAATTCAATAATGGGGATTTTTTTTTTTTTGGTTTTTGGATAGAACTCGGTTGGATTTTTGTGATGCATGTGTTTGATTCTTCATTATATGTTATACAATCTATACATTATATAATAAATTAAATATAATAAGTAGATAACATTGAAAAAAAAATGAACAACTAAATTTAAAATATCAAAATTATTAATGGGTATTAATTTGAATATTTTCCTTCAATTTTAAAATAAGAAATATATTTATAAAAATTAATTTTAAATATATATATATATATATTCAGAAAATATAATATTGCAAATGCTAAAATAACTATGCACAAAGAATAATGAAGAGATAAACATCTTTATTGGATGCTATCAAGAACAAAAACATCTTTATTGCAAATTTCAGTTTTTATTTTTTATTTTTTATTTTTTATTTTTTATTTTTCTCTTTTCCCTTAACACAAGCAAAGTTCAATAATTCCCTTAATTGTGGGTCCCTCTAACCAAATTGCATATAATGGATCCAAATTACATTTTACTTAAACTTTGATTTATATTTAATATTTGTATTTTACGTTATGTTATGATTGATATATGTATATCAATTAACTGATAAATTATATACTTTTTATTTTTTAAAAAAAATTATTACGAAATTTTTTTATAATAAAAAACATGTGTGTTAATAACTAATTCGCGTAATTAAATACACATAATTTTTATATTTATATAGTCAAAATAAAAAATTACAAATTAAGTATAAATTTTAGATAATATATCTTAAAAATAAGATAAATCCCATCTTATAATGAATATACATTTGATTAATTCTTTTAAATAATTATTGAAATTGTAAATTTAGTAACTATTTGCATGATCTTCTTTGGCATTTATTAATTTTTTTAAATGTTTAAAACAAAATTTGAAGGTAAGTTGTAAAAGTATAGTTAGATATAGAATAATTGTGACTTTGTTCTATGCTATTATAATTTCAATTAGCTATTGGATCATAATAACATATAATGTACATTTAAAAAAAAAAAATACATACACATATTTATGTGTATAAGATGGTAATGAGTAAAGTCATTTAATTATATTACAAGTTACAAGTGACGCCTTATCACTATATCTATTTGATACTTGATAAAATATTATATACATGTATATATATACAGTTAACTAATCATGTACTATTTTAATATTCTTTGAACCTAATTATTGTACGGTCGATATTCTCGTAAATAATCAATATTTAACAGTAAGTTATCAAATAGATTACAAGTAATAATATATATATATGTGAGTATGTTTTATTACTTCTGTATATGAATAAATTTTTGTAAATTAAAAATATGAGATGTAGCTCAATAACAATAATAATATATTTAAAAAATAGAGATAATTATAATTTAATAATGTAGAATTTATTTTATTTTTTTCAGTACAACATTATATATATTAATTTGTGTACTAGACAAGAGTTGCTCCTCTAACATCTACTTTTTGTAGAGGTGAAGAAGTACTTTTGGCCTAAATATTAAGTGTATAGTTTAATTAGTTTTTACATTTAATATGTCATTTTTTGTAATTATTCTTGTTTAATATTTAACCATATATATATATATATATATAATTTAGAAGGTAGAAAAGCTAAGTAGAAAAAAAATAAAAAATTATTATAAAGTAATAAAAAAAAATGTTTTTTTTTATAACAAATTTATATAGAATAATTTATTTTTAATTAAATATTAAAACATACTAATTTATAATTTTTTTTCAACATAATATATAGAAAATTTGTATTAAATAAGAGTCGAAAATGACTCTCAATTTGTATTAAAATAACTATTATGTTAAGTTATGTTTGATTAATTTATAAATTTTAAAATATATTATATGGTTTTTTTTTTCATTATATTAAATTAAATGCAAAGTACTCAAATGTCAAAAAGCCAGTACACATTATAATTTTATAACAGTACATATAATGTAAGCATTTTTTTTTACCACTTAAAATAAGGTTGACTATTGAGGGTATTTTGGTAATTGCAAACCTATATATGGTTTGATTATATCAGTACACGAAGCAAGTAACGGGTGAATCTGCAGCTAAAAAGTCGGTCTTCATTGTCAGTTTTCAGCAATTGAATGAAGGGCATATTGGTAATTTCATAATCACTTTTCGTATTTACCGGTTCTGTTAGTTAACGACAACGTCTTCGCCCAATAGAATCTCAAGGAAACTACAACGTCTCGTGATATTTTGTGTTTTTTACCAACAAAGGACACGCAAGTTTCTTTTATTTACGCCTTCGCCACTGGTAAGTTTCTTTTCACTTGGGAGAAACGTATTTTACTGGAGGAAATGATAGCGCGACCGGTGGGGGACCTTGGTAGGTCACCGAGCCACGTGGTTTTGACACACGTGGACTGATAACCCGCGGGTGACCGGTTACTCGTGGCTTCCCGTTCTGATTTCGCGACATTTGGGTGGATCTCACGGTCAATGTAGACTGTGGCAAAGCAGGTCGCCTGTTGAAATTGAGCCACGTGTGGGATCCCCAACGTCACACGCGCGACTTGTGTGTGACATTTTGTTTTGGATTGAATTCCCAATAAAATATTTGAAATGAAAAAACATAATTTTTGTTAATATTTTTTATTTATTTACTTTTTATTAATTTGTAATATTAATAAATTAAAAATAAATTTTTTGACTTGTAATATTAATAAAATAATTTTGATTTATAGTTTTAAAATGTCACTCTTGTAAGTCTAGCTACTACTTGGACTTTTGCATTTTATTTTTTTTTATTGTATTAATTTTAAAATTAAGATAATATAGTTTTATATTAAAAAAATATTTATATATATATATATATATAATATTATTTAAGTGGAATTAGGTAATATTTGTTTACAACCAAAAAGTGGGGGTAGGGGTCTCGAGGAAAAGATTTGAACGTAATCATTATTATGCCTTTAATAATTCATATTAATTAATTTATTTGAAAAATAATGAATATTAATTATCACGGTAAAACATGCCAAGTACGTAATAATTTAATTTTTTCATAAAAAAATTAAATTATTTTTAAACCAATTAAAATTAAATTAAAAATTAGGGGTTATATATAATTAAGAAGAAAACCTTTAAAATTTAAAAAGAAAAAGTTTTGTGTAAGAATGAGAGCAGAGAGTAATGATAGGAAGAGAGACTGGAAGGGTCTGTTTGGGAAATGATTTTCTGGGCTCTTTTTCTTTGACCTCTTTTAGCTAGTAAACAAACATGGTTCCCATTTTGTAAACCAAGAAAGAAAATTTGAGCAGTTTGGGTGCAGTCTGGTGACGACTGTGAAAGTACCAAGAAGGGAATCCAAACAGCACCGGCATTGTCATGGAACGATAGGTATTTTGCTGTTGTATTGACAGATACCCACTTGCAGACAAGAAGCCAATATATATGTATGTATGTGTATATAGATGCTGCTTGTCTTATAAGCACTCATTAAGTTGAACAGCTTTTCAGGCAAAAGATGAGTTTATTAAATTCATGGGCTATGGAACTGAATAGCTTATTATCTTTTGTCTCACTCTCTGTTTCCTTCTGCATGCCCTTTTGTCTGGTTCTGATCTTAAACAAGTGGTATATTTTTTCTCAACCAAGACATCCTCTCAACCTCTGTAGTTCCGTGGTAGATCAGTAGTTTTGTATGGGGCAAGTAGCGAGATCGATCCAGCATGGAGGCACTTCTGTTGAAAATTTTTGTTCATTTTTTTCGCGTTTAATTTTCCCTTTGTATCTTATAAATCATTCATGCATTTTTTAAGCTGTTAATTTTTTTTCAGATTTTTAGAGTTCAGAACCTTCTCTCGAAACAAGAAGAGTTTGACTTGGACATGACATGAAGTGTCTTTAAATTTAGATGAATAGTACTGACGGAGCGGTATGTATTGAAAAAAGAAAGATTTCTAAACTCATAATAAAACTAAAGTCCTGATCGAGCAACTAGCAGTTCAAATCTTCTTCTTTTTTATAATACTTCTGGTATTCAAATTACGAATGAAATGAATATTTGTTGGCCCGAAGATAAAAAAAAAGTGAGAGTTTCAAGCAAGATTCGTAATGTTTGTTTTCCAAATCGCTTGGCCTGTTAGGTGATCAAAATCGTTTAGGTCAATGAGGAGTTCTAGACCAATCTTCCTCGTACGATTACCCTGATTAAGAGAGACTGCTTCCTCTATTGTTTCGGATTCGATCCTACATCTCTTCAAGATGACAAACCATATTATTTCTTATGATTTGTTCAAATAATAAGTTCTTTTAAAATTATTTCGATAAAGACGATCGAGTGAGTAAGAGCAGCCGGAATAAACGACGGGCAACTACGTGCTAGGCAAAATATAGCGAGCCGCTCGTTCCATGCCTTCTTGTTTTTTTCTTCATTGCCCCTCGAAGATGTCGATTTTATGCTCAAAATTTTATTTTATTAAAGAAACCTTAAAATCATTCATGCATTTTAAGCTTATTTTTGGTTTCTTAATGCATAATCTTTGTTTTAGAAAACAATAAGCCAAACAATACTATATTTTGCTTTCATTTTATAAAACCAAACTTAAAATTTATATTTTGATAACTAAACATAATTTAAATTTAAACTATACCTCATTTTAAATTTTGAAACGAATTCGTATACACAGCAATTAAATCGACAACAAAAGTCCTCGAATACTTACATTAACTCTATTCATTTTGTAACCAACTTATGGAGAGGTAATATAAACATTCTTTTCTCACTAAACATTGAATATAATACATGTAGATGAAGGAATTATTTTAAAAGAAATTTAAATAAATATATCATACCCACTATTAATTATTTGACATTAATGTAAATTTTCTATATACCCATTATAGAAAATAAATTTTGAAGGTTGATTTGATACTTCAATTATGCAAAATCTAATAAATTGTGAAAATAAAAAGCTAAAATTTATTGAAGATAAATTTCTCATTCATAAAATTTAAAAAGGATATATGCTTGGAACTTGAAAATTATAAACGTATATATAAAAATTGAATTTTTTTTTTCTATATAATATTTTGTTTAATAAGTAAATATATATAAGATATTGAATATAACTTCCACGTGTCCTATGACCCATTTTCCCTCTAGGATCAGAGAATATCACACGTCTTACAATATCTTTTCCTATAAATTTCATCTAATTCTGTAATTATTTCTCTTAT